TATTCTTCCCATGTTCGTATCAGATGAAGACAAGGGTAAAGTTGATAGGGAACTTCTCTGGCCTGGGCACACTCCTTGTGAGTAGGTTAAAGCTTAGTCAGACAGAAAGGGGAGGGGGTAGGACTGCAGGTCTAAGATGGAGCCGCCAAATGGAGTCAGTGTGGTTCAGCCACACAAGGGCCTCGACATCTGGAAAGATCCCTCTTTGACATTGCAAGTCCTATTCCCATCACTCCCTTTCCTAGGATGGGGAAACAAGAAAGTCCCTCCACCTCCTAGACTGATGTATAATGGAGTAACACAGATGCTCTCATTAAACCCTTAATGAAATAGGTAATTATCTCATGGATGAGATTAATGAGGCTCAGAGAAGTTAAGTAACTGAACCAGGTCACACAGCTGATAAGTAATAGAGTTGGAGTTTGAACCCAGGTAGTCAGGCTCCAGAGCCAACAGGTGAGATCGCTCTACTGTGCTGTACCCTGAAGGTGGTCATTAGAGAAGCCATTTCTCCCTGGCCATGGTAAATGTTTAACATCTCTAAAGGGAAACCCCCGTTTGTACCATTGCCAATTTCCATGATGTAAATATTCTCATTGTTGCTGATTTCAAGCTACAAATATAATGTTACTGAATGCAGCATTAGGATAAGATGCATACAGTCAGCTTTCCCAGGCTGGTGCAGACTAAAAGCCCAAGGAGGGGGTGAACAGGAGGTGGGCAAGGGGGAATGGAGGATCTTTAAAGAGAGCTTTCCCACCGAAGAGCTTGTTGGAGTCCCCAGCAATCTGAAGTGCTGGCTCTTATTCCTGTCTTACAGATGAAGCAGCTCATGCCTTGTGCATTGGTTAAACGATTACTGCACATACACTCTGTGTGGGCCCCAGATGAAAAGAGTGGTACTGGGGATGACCCAGACCAGGTTCTAGCCTGCATAACGGAGCTCATGGGCTGACAACAGACACATACACATGGCTCCCATGTGGCCTCTCCAAATGGGTAGCATGATGGTTAAGAGAGTGGGTTCTGGCCCCAGACTCCCAGTTTCAAGTGCAGGCTCTACCGTTCACTGGCTATGTGATCTTAGGCTAGTTACTTAACCTCTCAGTTCCTCTGTTTACTCATCTGTAATAATGGCACCTACCTCATAGCATTTTTGGGAGGATGATATGAAGATGCAGATAAAGGACTGCAGAACAGTGCCTGCTGCACCATAAATGCTCAGTAAATGTTAGCTGGTTTTATTATATAACTTCAGCAATGCAAGTCTGTGTGCCCAGAAAGAGAGCGAGAAGAGAGAATGCATACACAGTGTGGGCGATTCTGCCTGGACATGAGCCCAGCTGTGAGCAAGATGTAGGGGGCGTGGACAGCATCCCGCACATCTGAGTGAGAGCTGAATCTAAAATTATAGTGTGCAAACCTTTGCAATGGCTACCACACACTGCCACCCTATATATTCAATGTATTTATTACTGCAAAGGACTATATTCAGGAAACTACCAATACCTTATTTTACGATAGACAGGATTTGTCAAAGTTTTTAGAAGTGTATTTATTTTGATAATTTTATCCTCACATTAGAACCTACCACTCATGTTAAATGGTCTCCCCACAGTAACTTTTTTTTTTCCAAAATGATGAGTGCCAGAACAAACGGTGAGGACGTTCCAAAGGTTGTTCAGCTGGTGGTTGGGGCAGCTAGAGCGAGAACTGAGGACTGAGGACTCACAGTGCAGTGCTCCTCCTTTTTTGATCTGGGCCCTGGGGAACAACCAAGACATTCTCCCAAGAACCCCTGACCTCAGCTTCTGGCTCCTTTCTGAGTGGAGGGGAGAGGCGGGTTTGCTTACAGAACTTGAACTCACCCTAAAAGGGTGTTTGGAGTGAGAGGAAAGGAGATATGGATTTGAATCCCAGCTTCACAACTGGCTCTATGTGACCTCCCTGAGGCTCCATCTCTATAGGTAGAGGTTAGTATCTACGCTGACATGTGTATATATGTATATGTATATATGCAGATATACATATGTCACATACATCACACATATGTGTGTATTCTGCACGTATATACACGCACCTATGTTATGTACATATGTGTGTGTTCTGCACATACATATAAATTGCACACAGCAGGGGCTCAAGTGCTTATTCCTTTCCCTCTATGCAGGCGGTGGGCTATGGATGCAATGTAGCTTTAAGACAGCAGGTGGCGCTGCAGTTCAAGAAGCAAGAAAGAGGAAAAGGGGTGTGCCTGTAGGGGTTGTTCAGCTGGAATCCTGCAGATGAGGGAGGGGGTCATTCAGAGGGAAGGTGGGGGTCCAGACCCCACGAGTGGCTCCCATGCCCACATGAGCAGACACACCCAGCATCCCGCTTATGTGCATAATCAAGGACCAGCCTTACCTGAGAAGGAGGCCGTCCCATACAAGATTTGGAATCCTTACAACAGCTTTATGGGTAGTGCCAATGTGATCCCATTTTACAGATGAGGAAACAGCCCAGAGAGCCAAAGTGAACTGTGCTAGGTCACACTGGAAGTCCGTGGCTGGGTTGGGATTTGATATATGCCCATGAGAATACTAACAGCCAACCTTCCTGCTCCTGCTAATACTGTCCCTTCTGCACATATTAACTCATTAAATCCTCATAACAGCTCTGTGAAGTAGGTATTAGTATTTTTAGCTTCATGTTACAGAGGAGGAAATGGAGGCACTGAGAGGTTAGGCAAATTGTCCAAGGCCACACAGCCAGAGCACGAGAACTGGGATTTTAACTCCAGGGTCTCTGCTTTAAATCACTGTGCTCCTGGCTTCCTGGGGCCCTACTGGGAAAAGGAATGCAGGGATGCAGGGACACACACACACACACACACACCCCTCATATTCACTTGCTCAGCCAGGCGGCTCCATACTTTACGGAGTGTGAGGTCCGTGGGTGCTATGAAGTGAACCAGGCCACTCTGGGTGGGGATAGAACAGACCTCCCCCTTGGAAAGACCTTGCTAAATGCTCCCATTTCCCCCAGGGAGCCTCCTCCTTGAAGTCTTCCTGCAGCCCCCCAGTGGACATGAGGTCACTTCTCCTGTCACAGCCCCACTTATGCAGTGAGGGCAGGAACTCTCTGGCTGCTAGGGTGGCACAGGCTGGAGAAGGAAGGGCAGGAGTGAAGCAGGGAGCCCAGCGAGGAGACCGTGGCAATGACCCAGGTGAGCAAAGACAGTGGTGGCTGTGGCCCTAGGTGGTAGCTTTGGAAGTGGAAGGAATGATTTGGATTCTGGAGATGTTTTGAAGGATGAGCTAACAGAATTTGATTAATTTGATGTGTGGGCATGAGAGAGATTGTTATGATATGTAATAAAATATATTACATATATTTTGTAATAAGGCATTCATTATCAAGGGCTGCATAACAAACTAACTCAAAACTTAGTGGCTTAAGATGATAATAAACATTTATACCTCAAACCATTTCTGGGAGCCAGGAATTGTGACATCTCTGATGATGGGCCTGTCTGAGGCCTCTTGCACTACCTGATCCTTCTGCCCTCACTCCCTCAAGATCTGAAGAGCACTCCCTGGAAAACCACCTGCATACAAATCCCCATCTCATCATCTGTTTCCTGTGGACCCTGACCTTCAAGAAGGGCATGTGCTTGCCGGCTCCCCAAGGTCCCTGCCTAGCCCAACTGGCCCACCTGGCCCACCTGGCATTTGAGTTCTCTACCATTGCTTATGACCTGGCCTCCTCACAGTGCTGAGAAAAGAAAGAGCCAACACTTCCAATGCAGGGACCACGTGCTCATATGCTAGGCATTGTTCTCAGCAATATATTCATTTAACCCTCACAATGACCTCATGATCCTTTGATCACAATGTACTTACTAAAAGGCGAAATTTAAACAAACAAACAACAAAAACAAATACCTGACAATGATAAGTGCTGATGAGAATGCAAAATGGTGCCATCCCACTGGAAAACAGCCTGTCAGTATCTTACAGAATTATAAATACATGTATAATATGACCCAGTAATTGTACTCCTAGGTATCTACCTGAAAGAAATGACAGCTTATGTCCACACAAAGACCTGCATGCACATGTTCACAGTAGCTTTATTTATAATCACCCAAAATTGGAACTGACCCAAATGCCTTTCAACTTGTGAATGAATAAATAAGTTGTGGTATATCCATACAATGAAATACTACTCGGCAATAAAAAGGGACAGAATTCTGACAAATGGAACCATGTGGATGAATCTCAAATGCATTATGCTGAGTGAAAGAAGCCAGACTCAAAGGCTACATCCCGTAGAACGTCATTTATCCCACACTCTTGCAAAGGCAAAACTATACAGAGAACAAGTCATAGTTGTCAGGTGTCTTCAAGTCCTAGGAATGCTGTAACAAAGTACCACAAACTGGGTGGCTTAAAAGAACAGAAATTTGTTCTCTCATAGTTCCAAGGCCAGAAGTCTGAAATGTGTCAGCAGGGCTGCACTCCCTCTGAAGGCTCCTGAGGACCTTGCCCCGTCCAGCTTCTGTGACCCCAGGCATTCCTTGGCTTGTGGCCACATCACTCCAATCTCTGCCTCCATGGTCACATCACCTCCTCCTTTGCATGTTTGCTTTTCTCATATTAGGACACTTGGGATGGCGGTTAGGGTCTGCCTGGATAATTCAGGGTGATCCTCAATTCAAAATCCTGAATTTAATCACTTCTGCCAAGATCCTTTTTCCAAATAAGGTAACATTTACAAAATTCAGGATTAGAACTTGGTATCTTTGGGGGTACCTTATTCAACCTACTACACCAGGGATGGGGGAAAGAGATTGACTACAGAGGGCATGAGGGAAATTTGAGGGCGATGGAAATGTTCTATATATCAATTGTGGTGGCAGTTGCATGACTTGGACATTTGTTGTGCCTCCCCCAAGGAGCCCCAGCTGTAAGTGGCAGAATGGGATGAATGAAGCAGGCTCAATGCTGAGACCATTCTCAATGTAATCAACGCATTATTTATTATTTTGGAAGAAAGTGAGGTGGGTGGGGGTTCTGGGTTCCACTGCTAATAATTAAGCAAATAAGTTGGGAAAATAACAGGAATAGATGAGCTTCCTGAAAGCAGTGACATTTCATGATTCTCCCATTCTTTGGCTCTCAGACTCTGCTTCAGAATTCCGTGAGGCTGAAGATGCTGCCCACTTTGGAGGGTAGTTGTCTGGGAGGTGCTCGGTGGGCGGGGGAGAGGAGAGGATGCTGGGGATGGATGAAAATAATAGCAGGGGGGAGGTTTGTGACCCCTTTCCCTACAGAGCACTCATGCCCTTTCCCTGGTGACAAGGCCTCTGTCCCCTCCTTTCACTCAACCCCAGCTGATGCCACACAGCCCCACCAGAGGCCTCCCCACCTCTTCTCATTGTCTGAAGGGCTCAGATGGAGGGGCAGCCCATTAACCCCTTCCTGGCCTCATTGCTTCACTCTGCAGCTGTCACACCCACAGCCTCAGGCCCGAGCAGAGATGAGGACCTGGTAGTTAATCACAATTACCGCACAGTGTCAGCTGTGAGGCTGGCCTCCTCCATCGACTGCCAGCCGGCCCAGGCCAGGGGTGACCCGCACCAGCAATGCAGCAGATTCTAGGACCTGCAGAGGCAAAGAGAGGACAGTCCCTTCGTGGTTCACTTCTGGGGACTTCCCCAAAGACCCCAGCAAGGTGTCCTCCATTGTCAGGGCTGCAGCCAGTAGTCTTCAAAACTGTCAAACCTGCCCCCTGTCCCCAGCTCCTCTGCCTGATCCTCACAGTGGCAGAGTCCTCATCTTGAAACATCACTTCCTCCAAGAAGCCTTCCCTGACCACCCTGGCTGTCACTCTCTACCACAGGCCCTGTTTACATGTTGTTTTGTTTTATTTTTCCAAAGTCACTAACTAGAACTGTCTTAGACATTGACTGGTTCCTGTAAATATTAATTTTCCAGGGTTGAAGTAAGAAATGACCACAAATAGGATGGTTTAAGGCAACAGAAATTTATTCTCTCACAGTTCTGAAGGCTAGAAGTCTGATATCATGGTGTCAGCAAGGCCATGCTCTCTCCAAAAGCTCTAGGGAAGGACGCTTCCTGGCTTTTGGGGGGTTGCCCATAATCCCTGGTGTTCCTTGGCTTGTAGGCACATCACTCCAATCTCAGCCTCTGTCATCACATAGTCTTCTCCCTTCTTGTGTCTGTGTCTGTGCCAAACTTCTCTCTTCTTATAAGGACACTAGTCACTGAATGACCTCATACTTAATTACATCTGCACAGACCCTATTCCTAAAAAAGGTCATACTCACAGGTGCCAGGGGTCAGGACTCAAGATCACACAATCCCAAGAAGTGTGTTTTCTCTATGTGTCCTAAGACAGCAGGGCCCTGTTGGCTTTGTCATGGGATGTGTTCTTTACACAGCCATCAATTAATTTTAAAACAACACATTTTATCAAGGCCTCTGCCCCAGGCCAGAGCTGGGCCTGGGGAGAAGGGACCCTGATGGAGTCTCTGGCAGGAGAAGCCTGCTGCCTAGAGGGGAATAGACAGGGAAGTGGGTTGGTCCCCAGAGATGGCTCCCATCCATCTCTGGGAGCCCTGGGATCCAGTTCTCAGTGAGCACAGTGTGCATGGTAGTCTGGACAGATGAGGAAGAGGGGAAGGCCAAGTATAGCAGGGCCATAGTGGCCAGAGGAACCCACGCAGACTGGAGATTGGTGAGAACTTCACCAAGCAGCTGAGCCTCAAAGGAAAAACTGGATGAGGAAACAGCGTAGGTACACAGGACTGAGCGAGCCGGGGCGCTGAGCTGTCTGCAGGTAGATGGCAAGTACCTGGAGCAGATGCTGCCTGATGCTGCCTGGATGGGGCTGGATAAAGCAGGAAGACCTCAGGGTCTAAACTTTGCCCTAAAATGATGCTGGGGAGCCACTAAAGGATTTAAGGCAGGGGCATGTCGATATCAAATTTGCATGTAACTGATCTCTTCATTTTTCGTTCGTATTTAGGTAGTACATTCACCTATACCTTTTTAAAAATTATTTGTTTTTAAATTTTATTTTATTATTTGTTTTTTAATGGCGGTACTGGGGATTGAACCCAGGATCTCATGTAAGCTAGGCACGTGCTCTATAGCAAAAAGTCTCCCTCTTCCCCAGCCCCCAGCCACCCAGGACCCCTCCTGTAGGCAACCACTGTTACCAGCCTCTCCCAGAGAGAATCTATGCAGATATAAGCAAAGTTCTTTTCCTTTTAAGCATAATTTACACATTGTTATGCACCTTGTTTTTAAAACATATTGATGTGAAATGCATACATGTAACCAACACCCAATCATGATCCAAAACATTTCCAGCACCCCAAGAATTCTTTCCTGCCCCTACCCAGTCAGACCCTCCACCCCCAGAGGAAGCCACCGATCTGGTTTCTATCACCATAGATTCATTTATTTCGCCTGTTCTAGAATTTCTTACCAATGGCATCATTACAGCAGGTTACTTTTTGTGTCCAGTTTGATTTTGCTCAGCATGCGTTGAGATTCTTCCAGGTTGTTGCATGTATCATTAGTTCACTCATGTGCACTGCAGTGTAGCATCCCACGATGTGGGTTAGCCAGTTTGCTTACCATTCCCTGGTTGACGGACACCAAGCTGCCCCAGTTATTGTCTGTTACAAATGAAACTGTCATGAACATTTGTGTGCAAGTCCTCGTGGGGACATGTATTTCTTTGTCTTTTGGGCAAAAACCTAAAGGTTATAGGGTGGGGGGAGGATGATAAGGCCTGAGCCCACATGTGACCAATTTAGGTGGAGACAGTCACATTCTCTCCAAACCTAAAGAAGAGAATGCTAAACTGGAAATGAAGGTACAGGTACTTCCACGACACCCTACCCACAGCCTACGCTTTCATCTGACCCCAGCCCGCGTCTCCACCCCATTGCTGATTCCACTCCCTTGCAAGGTAAGTTCCAGGCTCCTCCCCAACAAGCCGCTTTTCCCAGGTGTATCTTACTGATCTTACCACAACCCTTTGCACCTGCTGAACCCTTTTCCCGCAAAGCTTGCCTCCGCCACGTCCCTCATCTGGCTAATTTCCACTTGCCTCTCAAGTCTTGTCTCAGGCTGGGCCTCCTCTGCCGAAGGGCCTCCGCTGGGCCCACGCCCTGATGCTGCCCTTCCTCTAGCATTTGCCAGTATGGGTTATAATTGTCAGTATAGAAGTCGGCCTGCAGCACCAGAGAGCCTTTCGCTGGTGAGAGGGTTACCCAGAAGGGCCCAGCCCAGGAAGCGGCATTTAAAAAATGTGACCCACTAGCCAGGCCTTGTTCTCAGCACTTAAGTGGACTAACTCATGCAATGCTCCGCAAAGCAACACTGTAAATGGGCGAATGAGTGAACGAATGAACGAATGAGTGAGTGAACGAATGAATGAAGTACCCACCAGGGGGCGGTGGCGCTTTGCCACGCAGCCCCGGCAGAGCCGCTTTCCCACCGCCCCTCCTCTTCGGGTCTCGCCACAGCACCCCCCTCTCCCCACCGCAACCCCATCCCCACAAGGGAATCATCCGCCCCGCCCGCCCCCTCCCCGCCTCAGATAATTAACTCGAACCAATAAAACGCTGATTGCGGCGCCTTTGTACGCGCCGCCTCGGCATTGTCATGGAAAACGGGGTCCCCTCCCCATCCGGGCTGCCCGCCCCTCCCCGGTTCCCGCAGCTGGCCCGGAGTCGGACGGAGCCACCTGGACGGGACCGGGGGACCCCGAGCCGCCCGGCGCCCCGTCCATCTGCTCCTGCCCCCCACCCCCCGCCCGCACCGTCAGCTGCGGACCCGGCCCAGCCCGGAGTCGGCGAGGGCTGCCTGCGAAGCCCGCACCTCTTCCCTCCGCTCCGCCCCGCGAGACCCGGGGGAGCGGGCGCCCGCGATGCCCGCCTGCAAGCCTGGGGTCTGTCCTCAGAGGCGGCGGGAATGGAGGTGCGTCCATGGTCAGAAATAATAACAAGGATGAGAAGCCAAAGGGTTCAGAAGGGAACCATCGGTGGGAGAGGCCCCCCTCCCCATTTCTAGTTCCCCAAGAAGACCTTCTAACCTGTATACGTACATGCATGAATATACTTTAAAGAGGATACAAGCAACACGGGAAAACAGGTTGGAGGGAACCAATTTAGAGAACGCAGAGGGTTTCACAGGACTGTTCCCCCTTCATCCTCACCTCCCCCGTGACTGTCAGTTTGGGGGATATTTCTCCAGAGAGATGTCTCTGCATGCATCCTCAGATGTATCTGCATATGCACACATATATTACCCTACATGGAATCATGCACTTCCTATGGGCGGCTTTATTTTACTTGACAAGTAATGGCTAGAGATCTTTCCACGGCGGGGTTGTTTACAGAACAACACAACAGCAGGCCCCCTCGGTTGGCTCCCACCCTGACCCCATTTCAGTCTGGGTGTGGTCTGCTGCCCGGCCTGTGTGCTTTTCCCAGAGCGCTCAAGTAGGGCAGAAGGGTCTGCCCTTGCATGAATGGGGGGTGGGGTGGGGTCTGTGTTTCCGGGCTTCTGGGAACCTAAGAGGTCTTTGAGCTGCCTTTCAGCAGAGAGGAGTGGACTAGTAATATTAACAGCAGCAGCAGCAGCTGTAAAGCAAAAATATCCAAAACATGGAAACAAGACAAAAGACTGAGTATCCTTTCAATGTCATCCTAAGCACTGTCTGATCAGCGGGCCAGGGTCACCTGATTCTCTAGGCGATACACCTTTGTTTGACTTTGCTGTTTATTATTGATCAGAGTCCCTATTCAGTGAAGTTACACCTTATCTTGTAAAAGATGCACAGTTGCAAATGATTTCTGTCCTATAGTAAAAATAACACAAAAGCTTGTGGTTTTGTTGCCCTGTAAGATATTCATGGGGGAGGGGAGGGTATAGCTCAGTGTTAAGAGTGTGTGCCTGGAATGCACAAGGTTCTGGGTTCAATCCCCAGTATGTCCATAAATAAACCTAATTACCCTCCCCCAAAAAAGAAAGTGGGTATATTATTTTTAAATGATTTTTTAAGTAAAAATAAATAAATAAACCTAATTACCCCCCCAAAAAAGAAAGAAAAAAAAAGAAAGAGAATGTACTATTTAAAAAATGATTAAAGAAAGAAAAGACATTCCCCAGTTTTGTACCTAACCCCTGGCCATCTTGTCCACCATTGAACCAGTTCTACCATCCTGCTGGTTCCCTCATTAATGAGTTAAATAAGCCTTTGATGTGTGCTTACTATATATTTGCACAAGATTTGTGTTTTCAGCTTTCTGGGAATAATATTTTGAACGGGTTAACCTTTTTTGAAGACTTACTCTGTGCCAGGCGCAGTCCTCAGGGCTTCACTAGGAAGAAGGGGCTTAGAGGGCTGACTCTAGGGTGACAAATCTGGGTGCGAATTCCCCTTCAGCCACTCACCAGCTGTGAGATCTCAAGCAAGATTTTACTAGGCACCATCTCTGTGCCAGGCTCATCCACATTCTTATCTCTTATTCAACTCAGATCACATTACATCCCTGCAAGATGAGATTTGCTTTCACATTTTCCAGTTTTTTGTATGTCCTGTGCGTATCCCTTCCCTCAAGACTCAGGGTCTTCAACTGTGAGGCAAAGTTGGTGATCGCTCCCTCCCAGGATGATGTGAAGATACAGTGTGATAATGCCTGGAAAAGTAGCTCCATCAGTGCTGCATCTTGTTACTTGTGGTTCAGTAGCAGGAAGCTCAGAGAGGGGAAGTAACCTACCCAAAGTCACAAGGTCCCAAAGCCATC